ACGGCTGTGTGGGGGGACCCTCAGCGCCCGGCTCACCTCTGCTGGTCTCTCCACAGGAGCGGGGCGGGCACCGTGGCTGCGGGGCGGGTGGCGGACCTTTTCTTCCCCGTAGGGCCCAGATGCCGCCGAGCGGAAGGCCTCTCACTCCACTCACAGCCCGTTCTCCCCGGCACCCTCCCTCCTCACACACCTTCCTCCTTTCTTCCAGGCTTCTGCCGCAGCACTAATGGAGGCCACAGCCACGGGGGGCTGCTGTGAGCGGGGCGGGCACCGTGGCTGCGGGGCGGGTGGCGGACCTTTTCTTCCCCGTAGGGCCCAGATGCCGCCGAGCGGAAGGCCTCTCACTCCACTCACAGCCCGTTCTCCCCGGCACCCTCCCTCCTCACACACCTTCCTCCTTTCTTCCAGGCTTCTGCCGCAGCACTAGTGGAGGCCACAGCCACGGGGGGCTGCTGTGGGATGGGGGGGGCTGCTGTGGGAGCGGCTCGGGCGTGTGGGGCTGGAGGTCACAGGAGGCTTGGGGGAGGGAGGCTTGCTCCATTCAGGTTTTGCCTGCAGGCCTGTCTGCTCAGGTGAGGGGGACAGGCGTGCCTGGGGTTCTGGCCGACCTCTGGGAGGATGAGGCGGCCAGGAAGGGGTGTGGGCTCTTAGGGGCCAGAGGGCAGACCTGCGGGCTGGGCTTCCTTTCCCGCTCTCACACTGGACTCTCCTGTTTTTCTCGCCCTGCCCTTCCCAGGGTCCTCGCCTTCCGGCCTCTTGGGGGCCACTGATGAGCCTCCTCCCTCAGGCCCTTCCACGACTCAAGGAGCCCAGGCGCCCGGCCTGCAGCAGCGCCCCCAGGAGCTGGGGGAGTTGAGAGTGCTGGGCAGAGACGAGACAGGGCGCCTCCGTGTGGCCTGGATGGCCCAGCCTGACACCTTTGCCCACTTCCAGCTGCGCCTCCGGGTGCCCAATGGGCCAGGGTCGCATGACCAACTACTGCCCGGGGATGTCCGGCAGGCACTGCTGCCCCCACCCCCTCCTGGAGCCTCCTATGAGCTGTCACTTCGTGGGGTGCCCCCTGAGGGCGAGCCCTCTGCCCCTCTCATCTACCAAGGCATTATGGGTACATTCTGGCTTCTGCTCAGACCTGGGTCCTGAGGTTGGGGGAGGCCTGGGCCGCGGGACTCAGCGGGGGGTGGGGTGGAGGCAGGTGGGAGTGGTGGGAGGAAACAGGCAGAGGAAAGGAGTTGAGGGGTCAGGGGCAAGAGGGATGGGTGAGCTGAGAACAGTGACCTCGTGGGCGGGGAGGGGAGTTCTCCAGGAAGAGAAAATGGGGGAAAGTCAGCGGGTGAGGCAGGGCTCTCCCTGCAGCTTTCTTTCCCTGAGTCCTGTTCCACATCCTGGTCACGCCTCTGCCCCACCCCATAGATCTCTCTGGGTGGGTGTGGGGAGGCACTGATGACATGACCCTCAACCCCCTCCTCCCCTGCTCTTCCCTACAGCCCCACCCCCCCTCACCGGGCAGGCTAGGATGGTGGCACTGGCCCTGTGGTCCCATCGACCAGGTTCTCCTAGGGCTGGGGGTTCCTTGGGGCAGGGAGCACCGGAGCCAGCAGGCCTGCAGAGATGGGTGAGGTCTGCAGAGCCAGTGCAGGCCAGCGCCTGGGGTCCCCGGCTCTCACATGCCCCGCTTATGGGGCCAGGAAAGCTGATTCTCCCCAAAGCTCCAGGTCCAGCTCGGGGAGAGGGAGACAGGGAGAGGGCCGTGCAGGAGGCCTGAGGAGACCTCACGCTGCTCTGCAGCAGCAGGAGGGTTCCAAACTCCCAGGAAGCACGGGGGCCTGGAACTGCCCCATGAACCTCGGTGTGGAGAGAAACTGGGGCCTTTGTGAGGGGTGGGGAGCTGGAGGGGGACATGCCCCTTCTCGGGAAGGCTGGTCACAGCGGCTCGGTGGGGACGCAGAGTCTTCGAGGGAGGGAGGGAGCCCGTGGGCAGATGGGAGGGGAGGAGACAAGAATAAAGCGGTGGTTGAGTCTGCTTTGCTTTCACT